GGACTTGAGACGATCTGGAGTAACCAAGCCACAATGTGGCTGAGTAGAACCTCGACCTCACTTCGGTGTTGCCACACTTGTGCGCTCTCTTCAACGCCATTTGAAGGTCCCGGTCCAACGGACACCGCTGAATTGCCCAGTAATGGTCATTTGGGTCGCATGCTCACTGGGGACCGTACAGCGAAGGCGATGCAGCATGATGTGAAACACCGCAGCTAGCTTGCTCTAGCTCCACTGCAGAGGCCTCTCGGGACAGCTCAAAGTGCATTGGCGTGCAGTGACCGACAGGATTACATCATGGCTGTGGTCTGGTCCCCTGACTTGTCAAAACAGGAATTCTGGGCGCTCTCAACCACCTTACGTCGAGAGGCAACTTGCGTCGTGACAGGGACTCGGACCCTGCATGCATGTCCTTTTCTCAGTCCCAATGCTTGTTTGAATACATATACCATCCATCAACTTCTTCGAAAGCTTTACTGTTCCCCACCCTTTGTCTCTATGCACACTTATTCCACGCGGCAAACCTTGAGTCTGCTATAGGAAATACCAGCGCCATTCGTGCTTTTCGAACCCAGAACATTTAGCAAAAAGCACTTTCTTTGCCCGCGCAGTCGGCTCCAAGCGCAATCATGGCCAGTCTCATCGCCAAGTGGGTGAGCAAGAAGATCTTGGCGGAAAAGGTTGAGAACAAGTTTGGTCGCGAGGTATGTACCGGCGAAGGTAAATGAGCTTCCACAAGTGCACTGTACTGACGTCTCAATCCCTCAGGATCCGTACTTTGAGACCGTTCCGGCCACCAGACTTGATGGTCGTCCCACCAAGAAAGTCAAAAAGCGCAGAAAGGCCCTCCCGCCGGGAATCTCCGCCAAAGATGGAGAAGTCTTGACCAAGGTCAAGCGGCGAGCCTATCGTCTCGACATGTCGCTATTCAGCCTCTGCGGTGTCCGCTTCGGTTGGAGCAGCGTCATCGGAATCGTTCCTGCGTGAGTATCATACACTGCCTTGCACATGTCCCACATCCCTATTTGGTACGTAAGGTATCTTCAACGCCGACTAATACCATGCTCACAGCATTGGTGATGCTCTCGATGCATTCATGGCCTTGATGGTGTTCAAGACCTGCAACAAAGTTGAGGGTGGGCTGCCGGGTTCGCTCAAGTCCAAGATGCTGTTTAACATCATTGTGGACTTCGCTATTGGCCTGGTACCCTTCATTGGTGATATTGCCGACGCCGCTTTCCGCTGCAACACCAAGAATGCCATCCTTCTGGAAGACTATCTTCGCGAACAAGGCAAGAGGAATCTTCGACGGAGTGGAGCGCCCGTACCCGCGGTCGATCCCAGCGAAGCAGATGAGTTTGATCGCTGGGATGATGACCGCACGCCACCCGAGTATGTTGAAGAGGAACCGCGCCGTCATGGAAACATGTCATCTGGTCATGGCGGAAGCCGCCAACACTCGTACAACGGACGCGCCCCAGCTGCACCTGCCCCCCTTAAGACACGAGACGACCGGTCTGGCGGTGGCCGGGGTTGGTTCGGGTTTGGTCGATCGAGGGTGGAGGATGAGGAGACGGGCTATGCTGGCCGCGACCCCAGAGACAGGCCTTCTCGGCGTTGAAGTCGCCACGAGAAGTTGTGGCATCCAGAGGCCTAGAAGGGATGACATCACTAGACAGGAAGACTTCATTCATGAAGTGCCCTGGCGATCGTCTATACGGATTTCATTTCTCTTTTGTCTCGAACTGGGCCAGAACCCGGCGTTCTCGCTAGCTTATGTTCATGCGCGCACACAAGATACGAATCGGATGGTGAGATGAAAGCACGACACGATACCTTAGTTACATACCCACTTCACGATAGTAAGGCCGCTTTAGATAATTAATTCAAACGCTTCTGACGTAGTACGTAACACTTGGACTGTCTAGAAATGAGCACTCAAGCCGGGCCGCCCGTCCGTGCCAGCAGGCGGCTGGACCAGCCACACAGCGACGACGAGCAGGATCAACCGCGTCGACCCGCAACCAAGAGTCTCATGCCAGCGAGATTTGTCGATGTTTAGACACAACTACGGGGCGGTAAGTCTTGGGAGGGCCACTTCGTCCCGCCCAAGCCCTGGGTCCTGGACGGATTAGGTGTTATCTGATCTGATCTGATAATCTAAGGGGGGTTCCAGACCAGGGACCCAGAAACGCGTTGGTTCGTAACGCCGAGAACGAATCCAGAACGAGTCGATACGGAATTACGGATGCGGGAATAATGGCACAGAACCGGGTGTGGCCCGGGTTGACGGGGGCAATAAGTGATAACTGGCACGCGTTTGCTCGGCCGAAGCCCTCGGTAGGAGTGGTCTGGCATGCCGTGACGCCGTCCATTTCCTCCCAGTTGCCCCGGTCATGACATCGTTGCCTGGTCGGCTCGCGGGGGGTGGAACGCATGCGGCCACTTGAACGACGAAGCACGTTACAAATTGCCTGGTACGATGAAGAAAAAAGAGGGAAAAAGAGGGCTGGGCAAGACGCGTCCCGCTGGGACCCGTCGGTCGTCACTTTTCTTGCAAGGGTCAGAAGTGGAAAAGTGCCAGCTGAGACAGAATCCTGCCACTTTAGCAGCGAAACGCGCCGGCGATCGCTGGCCTACCCCTGTTCGACGCGCTTTTAAGTGGGGCGAGGGGCAGCGATGTAGTCAGTGAAGGACCTAAAGCTGCCAGAGGTCCCGGGGTAAAGCAATTAGACCCAAAACCCGCAAAACACGAACGCGGAACCCCCTGCACCTAGCGACGCGTTTTCCACCACACGTGCTGCCCAGTTGTCTGGTACAAAAGCCTTCCAAAAGTCACCCACTGACATCGCGTCTACTTCTCTTCACACTCAACCAGAAGACACAACAACGCTTCATACGACCGCCGATATCCTCAATTCATTCTCGCAGTCTTTTTTCTCGTTTTTCAATTCACCCATTTCTCAACGCTTACTTCCCCCTCTCGGCCGCGCAACCCTCGCAATGTCTGTTGAAGTCACTCCTTCCAAGCAGGTACGTCACGACTTGCGCTCTGGCGCGCAACCGCAACCACTACTTTACTTCGTCACAGTGTGCGCGTAAATGGATTTAACTGAACTAACAACCCACTCTCCAGGCTGCCGCCGCTCTCGATTCTTTCAAGATGGAGTCCCCTGTCAAGAAGCTCAACTTCAACAACGCCGACAAGGAGAACCAGCCCATCAGCTCTGACGTTGCCACCGCAACCGACATCCAGACCAAGCCCACTGAGGAGCCCACGAAGCAGCAAGAAGCGCCTGTCGTCGCCCCTGGCATCAAGGAGGAGGAGATGGACGAGCCTCTTCTCCAGGAGAACGGCCAACGCTTCGTTCTCTTCCCCATCAAATACCATGAGGTCAGTCACACCACCACGCGTCATTGACGCGTAAAGTGGTCTTTCTCTCGAGAACATTAATTTAACTCTCGACGCATAGATTTGGCAAATGTACAAGAAGGCCGAAGCCTCGTTCTGGACTGCTGAGGAGATTGATTTGTCCAAGGATCTCCATGACTGGAATAACAAGATCAACGATGATGAGAAGTACTTCATCTCTCACATTCTCGCCTTCTTCGCCGCCTCCGACGGCATTGTCAATGAGAACCTGGTTGAGCGTTTCTCTGGCGAAGTCCAGGTCCCCGAGGCGCGCTGCTTCTACGGCTTCCAGATCATGATGGAGAACATTCACTCCGAGACTTACTCCCTTCTCATCGACACCTACATCAAGGAGCCTGCCCAGCGTACCTATCTCTTCAACGCCATCGACACCATCCCCTGCATCCGCAAGAAGGCTGATTGGGCCCTGCGCTGGATCACGGACACAAAGTCCACCTTTGCCCAGCGCCTCGTTGCCTTTGCCGCCGTCGAGGGCATCTTCTTTAGCGGTGCTTTCGCCTCCATCTTCTGGCTCAAGAAGCGTGGTCTCATGCCCGGTCTGACCTTCTCCAACGAGCTCATCTCCCGTGATGAGGGTCTCCACACCGATTTTGCCTGCCTTCTGTACTCTCACCTGAAGCACCGCCCCAGCAAGCAGGTGATTGAGGATATTATCGTCGATGCTGTCAAGATCGAGCAAGAGTTCCTGACCGAGGCTCTGCCTTGCGCCCTCCTGGGCATGAACTCCAACCTGATGAAGCAATACATCGAGTTCGTCGCTGATCGTCTGTTGGTTGCTCTCGGCAACGACAAGGTCTATAAATCGACCAACCCCTTTGACTTCATGGAGAACATCTCTCTTGGTGGCAAGACCAACTTCTTTGAGAAGCGTGTCGCCGACTACCAGAAGGCCGGTGTCATGAACAGTGCCAAGAAGTACCAGGATGAGTCTGCCGGCTCTTCCGAGGAGAAGGGTGAGAATGGTGGCGACTTCTGCTTTGATGAGGACTTCTAAACTGGAGTGTGCGAAGTCGGTTATGTCCTTTTTCTTCCCTCTTATACCCTTGTACATTGCATTCGCGTGGTATTTGCCACAGCGCTTTATTTTCGCACTCCATCGCCTCTCTAATGAGTTTTGGCATAGAGTCGTTTGTTTTATCACATACATACACGGCGTTAGCGGGGAACACATTACACCAGGGAGTTGGATGCTCCCACGGGCTAGGTGGTTGGATGACGGTGGAAAATGGGGGGGCATGAATGTCTTTGATGGATGATGTATTGGCGAGGACTATTTTCAGTAATTCAGACATGACAAACGAAAAAATGCATTCATCGCATGTGACGAAAATGACGCATCTTTATTCGCCAGCCTTGTTTCACTTTCACTGATTGTTCTATCAGAACTCGGTCTGGGCCAAATAGATCGGTGTATATGTGAGCGCTTTTTGAAGCCCCGACGGCTTTTGTATGCGCCCGTCAAGTGCCATTTTCAACATGTCCCCAGCCATATATCATAAATCAACACGGTTTAGGCATGCCTATCTATCATTGCGTGTGCGGTCCCTGTATGCCATCTGTCATTTTCTTATTTCTTGCCCTTCTTCTTCTTCTTTCCACCACCGCCACCCGCAGCTTGTTGAGGCTTCTCCTGCGCGCCACTCTTCAACTCAGCAGCGCCCACGCCCTTCTCCTCGGCAGGCGTATCGGCCACGGCTTCGTCCTTGACCTCCGCGGGGGCCTTGGATGTCGCCATGGTGCGGCCCAGGGAGCCCAGCAAATTGATGAGACGTGTGACTTCAGCAGCCTTGGTCGTCCGGTACTTGAGCGCGACACCGCTGACGGGGTCGTATGTCTTGATCTCGAGGCTGCCTCTTGGTGGCTTGGCGGTCGCCGCGTCGGGCATCGTGCTGTCCTGCTCGCCGTCCGCCTTTGATTTTCTAGGCTTGACGTCCTTTATCGAGTATTTGGTTGTGATTCTAGTCTATGAGGTCGATGGTCGCGTAACGCGACACGGGTCAGTCGGGGCTCTCTGCAAGACTTGAAATGTAGAGCAGGGGAAGGGCCTCACGGTTGCTGGACGAGCTTGGAGGAGCAGCGACGACTGCTGCAGCCATTCCTGGCTGTTCTTGTAGGTCGGCATCGTTGCAAGAGGGCGGCCAGAGCCTTGCACTGCACCGAGATGTGCGCAAACTCGGTCGCTATGTTCGTCTCTCCAACGCGACCTAGGTACCTCTTTGCGCTCGCGTGTCGTCTCGAGGTTTCGGCGACTGTTCGCTAGATGTCGTGGGATTGTGTATGTGGATGAGTGACGTTCGTTGATGTGGACTAAGGTAGCCGCGGGCGGTGGAGGATTGAATTTTGGTGGGGTCCAGCTAGGTGACCTACCTTAGGTCGTGGTAGCTGCGGTCAATCCACACTGAGGCCATGGGTGGCCGTGATGAGGGGCAAGTCTAAACAGCACGTCGCTGCTGCGAACCTGGGTCTCCAGGCCAGAAAATGGGCAAATTTTATTTGATTCGAGGATAGTGACTAAATGAAGCATATTCATATCGCGTTCAGTCGTATCTACGATAAACTCTTGGCACGGAATTGTACGAGTTGGGTATCTTGTCTTTAAACTCCAAAAATGCTTGTCCCTCTCAACGCCGCTAGCTTGCGGTCCTTCCTAAGAACTCTGAACCAAACCTTCCATCCTATTGAGGCGGGTCAGGCAGCCAGAAGACAACTTCCTGGTCAGCCGTCGCGAAGAAGTTGTACCGAGGGTTGAATGCCAGCACTGCCGCCTCTCGCTTGTCCTCCAAAGTCCAGGCGGGGTTAAGAGTCTTGGTTTCGTTCGGCGGCGTCAAGGTATCCCATACCAAGACATCCTTTTTGGTACCACTGAGCACAAATCTACCATCCACCGAGAAGCAACATTCACCGCTGCTCTCCACCGTGGCAGGATCGATTCTCGAAACACCATTGTAAGTAGCATTTACGCCTTCACCCGCAGCCAATCGTCGAGTGCCGCCTTCAGGCTTGCGGAGATAGGCCTTCAGGCTGCCATCAAAAGCATCGATGAGAAAATGGCCACTCCCACGCGTGCCGACAAGCATGTGCTTTCCATCGTTCGAAAACTCCAGTTTAGTCCAGCCCCTGATCACAAACTGGGGGTCTACGTGTCTGCCCACATCGATCAGGTCGAAAGTCGCGAAGGGCGCCTTGTCGTAGTTGCGACAGTCGTACAGCAACACACTTCCGCTGCTTGGAGAAGCGACTGCGAAAGTCTGTCCCGAGGGATCGTATGCGGCAAGGTATGGCGTATTGAGGAAAAGCTGGCCGCACCACTGCTTTGTGGATACATCCCACAGGCGCACTGTGTTATCCTGGCTGCAGGAGATGAAATTATCAGCTCCTGGGTGCACTGCAATATCTGTCACACTCTTCTCGTGGCCCTCGAAGTATCTGATGAAGGAGTTGTCGTGGGTGGCAAGGTAGCGAATCTGGTCTGTTTCGACTGTCAGCTTCTCCAGCCCTCCCTACCGCTACTCAAATCCTTCTCACCATTCTGTTTTGTGCTCGCATAGAGAATGCTCGAACTTGTATGGGTGAAATTTGCCAGCTTTACGCCATATTTCTTGCTTAAGAGACTCTTTTCATGCCGTCCCTCCTTAACGTTGTAGATCTGAATGGTCTCGTCGCTTTCGGATGTCATAAGAAGCTCACCCGGATCGTCGAAGTCAAGCGAGAGAACATGAGGTTGCGGCCGGCCGTCTTTGATGTCATCCCTCTTGAATAACTGAAAGGAGGTGTAAGCGCCACCCGTTTTTGACTGATCGAGGGGTCATGAGACCTGCCTACCTTTGTAGGACGAAACGTCGAGATAACATCGCTCAATTGAGAAGTGTTGTTTGCGTTCAGCGATCGCGTAATGTTCAGCGAAGTTCCATTGGCAGGAGTTGAGTCCCGGTAGTCCAGATCCATGGGTGTCGAAGCCATGGTGACGGGTGAGAGGCGAATTGCCGGCTCTTTCAGTGCAATTGGCGTTGCGGCGGTGGGCAGCAGCGTCGCAGATCGAGCTTGTCAATCTGCCCAAGGTTCGTTCACCCGGAGGCTGGTTAGATCAATGTTTTGAGTTGGCTTGGGAAATGACAACTCCGATCAGAACCAACCTCTGGAGTCTTGGTGGTTTTGTCGCAAGAAGGCGTGTGGACTGTTGGTGAACGCGGCGCCAAAGCAATGCGGATGCAGAAGACGCGATTGCGGCTGCGGCTACGGCTACGAGGAAATTGGAAGCTCCAAGAGGTGGCGGGGCAAGGAGCTTCCAGGGTCTGTGAGGTCCTTGTTCTATAGGCACATACCTCGACTCAGTTCAGCCACGTCGTAACACCACACGGGGCCCGTGAAGCTAGCACAGAAGAAACCCCTAGCAAGATAGCAAGCCACACCAGGCCAGTTGTCCCACAGAGTGCAACGACCTGCGATGACGGCTGACTCTGCATTGCAAACTGCCTCAATGGCAATGGGCCAGCTAAAGCAACGCCCCCATTTACGCCAGGATCCGGGGTACCGGTTTAGGCCGCTGCTGTCCGCCAACCCTGCCAATTGGCAGCTCCGAACGCCGGGATCGGCAGTGGCTATCCACGGCCGTCGTCGCTGCAAGAAAAATTCCCATTTTCTCTTCCGCGCGCGGAGCTTAGTGAGATACCCTACCTGCGACCCCCAGCAGCCTGAGAGTCAATTCGTCCTGTCTGGTGCCAACCCGACCTGCCCACACCACCATCTTGCATCGCGACTTTGTTGACTCAAAAAGTGCGCGACAACCTGGTGTTGGGCTCTGGCTAGAAGGAGTGAATATGTAAGACCTGCTCGCCGCTTGACTGCCTCGTTTCTGCTTCTGCTGCGTTGTTTTGCTGTGCGTCAGCCTATCGTGGTAGATTTCCAGCTGTTACTTCGCGTTGCTAACCCGCATCGTTCCGTCTCCAGGTCCTAAGGTTCCGAACGGTGTCGCTCTTTTACTACAATTTACCGACAACCCCGATCGCCATTGCATATGCGATCAGCTTCACCTGCTTGATACCCTTTTATATTCTTATTCGCGCAGCAAGACCGGCACAATGTCGACAACCTTGGGGCAAGTTGCGGCCCGCAGACCGGCAATCCGCGAGATGGCGCAGCTAACCATCGAAACAGCGCCTTTATCGCCGGTGGCATTGCCGCCTGCGGTGCCGTGACGGCTACACATCCCTTTGAGACTGTCAAAATTCGGTTCGTCCCGGCCCTGCTTGCCCTCTCCCCAAGTTGGCGCTGCCGCAGTGCGCTGACCCCTCTTCGACGACATCTAGAATGCAGTTGCAAGGAGAATTGAAGGACAAGGTACATCAACCCCATCAGTACCGCGGACCTCTGCAGGGTGTATCCGTCATTGTCAGAAATGAGGGCGTTCGGGGCATCTACCGTGGTATCGGCTGCGCGTACGTCTACCAGGTCCTGCTAAACGGTTGCCGTCTGGGCTTTTACGAGCCCATGCGCCACGGCCTCGCCTCCTTGATCTACAACGATGGCAGTAAGCAGAGCTTGGGCATCAACATGTTCTGCGGCGCTGGATCGGGAATAATGGGAGCTGCTGCCGGTAGCCCCTTCTTCCTTGTAAAGACCCGGTTACAGAGTTTCTCTCCTTTCCTGCCCGTCGGCACACAGCACAAATACCGCAACGCTTGGAACGGCCTCAGTTCGATCTACCATAACGAGGGAGTTCGCGGTCTCTACCGCGGTGTTGGCGCCGCCATGATTAGAACCGGTTTCGGAAGCTCTGTCCAGCTGCCCACCTATTTCTTTGCCAAGAGGAGATTAGTCCGCCATCTGGGCATGGAAGAGGGCCTTCCTCTGCACCTTGCTAGCAGTACTGTCAGCGGTTTCGTTGTTTGCTGCGTAATGCATCCTCCTGGTATGCGACCGTTCGATGATGAATTGTATTGGATGAGGTTTACTGATGTTCACCGACAGACACCATCATGTCCCGCCTGTATAACCAGAACGGAAACCTGTACAAGGGAGTTTTTGACTGCCTGTCCAAGACCGTCCGCACCGAGGGACTGTTCGCCATTTACAAGGGATTCCTGCCTCACCTGGCCAGAATTCTCCCCCACACCATCTTGACCCTGACCTTGGCCGAGCAAACGAACAAGCTGATTAGGAAGCTCGAAGATCGCATCCTGCCTACGGCCGCCCTGCAAAACCCGTGATTGAAAACCGATCTTGTACTTACTGAATCAGCGTTTGCATATATGGAGTTCAAAAGAGCTGGATAGACTTGATGGACTCGTCATAGCCGGGGATGGCTGGGGTTCAGGAAAGCGGCAGGGAATAGGCCAAAGCTCTGAGAAGGGGACGTGGGGATGCCTCTCTGTTTGATCTACCCATATATAGACCGTTCGCACCCGTAACATAATCGTCCTGCAGTTCCCTTGAGCTTCACATCATCCGGATCCTCGCCAATCTCTCCCTTCCACCTGGCGTAGCCATGCTCGTCGAGATCCATTCCGCAGAGTGCACACGCATTACCGGCATTCTCTCGTATGAGCTTGCCAGTGGTGCGAACGACGTTGGCGACGACCGATGGATAACTTTCTTCCACCTCCTCGAAATACCGGGCCATGACGTCCTCGATGCTTAATTCTCTATGCGACACGATGGTGCTGCTACTCGAACCCGCGTCTTGAATCAGCTCCCTGATCGGTGGTTGGACGAGTCCAGTATACGTAGTCACTTCCCGCCTGAAAACATCTCTCAATGGGTAGTAGACAGGGAACGTCGTCTTCTGAGTTCCGCTGGCTGGCTGGCCTTCTTCCGACTGCTCCTTCGAGCGTGGAAACGTCGTGATGGGAACTTGTCCGTCATTCACTTGCAAGGGCACCGCAAAACCCCTCCCTTTCGCCGTCTCCGCCAGTGTCAGTTCGGCCAAGGCGGTTGTCGTGCAGCCAAGAAGCAGCGCGTGGCATTCCTTGTCGATGGCCAGCGACAGCAACAGATGCCGTACGAGCAGCCTCAAGATGTCCACCCTCGACGTCACAGATGGCAGCGCTTCGAGCATGGCTCTGACCTGCTGCGAGGGCTCGAGGTCCTTCTGCAGAGCCGGTAATACAGACCAGTCTATCGTATCTAGCCTGAGAGCGTCACTCAGTGGCACGCATTGCATGGACAGGTTGGGAAATCTTTCCTCGTACTTGTCCAGCAACTGGCTCGCAGGGGACTTTGCCGATGATTGCGAAGTGCCCGATAGGTCCGTGTCGATGTGGATGGCGTGCACCTCATAGGCGACGCGCAACTTTCTGTCATGGAGGCTCTGGAGATTCTTGTCCAATATCTGTACCATGGCCGCAGACGAATGCCCGAATGAGAGACCGAGGAGGTACTTTCCTTTGGCGTTTGGCTTGTTTCCGATCTTCTCCTTGGCCTCCTTCCATGGCTTGCCAAGAGCCTTTACCACTCGCTGAGCAATGTGTGCCTCATAGCAGGTTCTGAGAGAACAATCAGCACGGGACTTCCAGAATGTAGTGGTATTCAAATTTGATGGCTTACTCGCACAGCGGGTCCTTTCTCACCGTCAGAACCGTCGGTATCTTGCATCGCCGGCAAGGTCGTGGCTCAGTGTTTGCGCTCATACTTGCGAGTTTGGCTGCGACAGAGATTGGGTTTGGCCGCGTTCAGCAGCGAAGGAAAAAAAACTATCGGCCCGAAATAAGTGTATGACACAATAGTGTTCAAGCTCGCCTATTGCCGTGTGCTCTTGTTGCGTGCCGTTGCACACGCGACGGGATATTTTTGGCTGTTTAGTTGTGAGAAGAAAGATTATTTCACTTTTGGGTTCCGCCACTCAAAGTTGACTCACACAGTTTGCTGTGGGATTTTTTTTCTGGGCTAAGTTCTCAGAGTCCCAAGTGGCTTCTCACTTCACACCAGACCTGTGTTTGGATTTCATCAACAAATTGAGGCTACCAATAGCCAGATTAATTATTTCGCCTTTGCCTCTGCTATCCGTCATAAAATGCCCCTGGTTCATGGACATGACCATACCATCAATATATGCAAAACGCGGATGCAAGATCGCCACTTCAGACAGCGTCTTGCACAAACTAGACTTCTACTCACGACGAATATGTGAAGCGACAGAGGTCATGATGCAGCGTCCGCATCCTATCTGGAACCGACTCAAGGTTGTCGACGGGTCCCCAAAGTTTTATAGGCCCCATTTCGGGTTGAATCTCGACAAGTCAATGGCCCCGCCACCCTCGATCGCATGAAAGCTTAGCAGAAGAACCGCACACCGTGAGCCGCGAGCCCTTTCATGGCTTGTGGAAGTATAATTGGCATCGCCTTGCGTTGTCCTGTAACCATTACCCAGCTACGGTTTTTTTCAATTATGCCCCATTCGGGGATGCTTCCTTTTTGAATCGTCGCACATGGGCAGAAGGTGGTGTGTGTGTGTGTGTGTGTGTGTGTGTGTTTGTTTTCGCTCTATATTCTTCACTATTGCCCACCGGCCAGATTGTTTCCGGTTCGTAGGTAGCAGACGTAAGGTAGGTAGGAATAGATGTACTCGCCGTCTGACTCATTCGGCGGGAGGTGCAGGCTGCAACTTCCGTTCTCGGCAGGTTCAAACTCGGCAGGTTCAGGAGGCACAGAGTCCCTCGCGAAGACTTGTGTCGATTTCATTTGACTGTGTCTCGCTCGCCATCGACCAGAGGCGCGTCAAACCTCGGGCTGCAAAGTTCTCGCCTTCAATGAACTGTCGCATGAGAAACTCGCCCCGCTGGCTGCTGTCAACGACCACATCGACCTTCTTCTTCCCATGTTGTGAACATCAACTACGATCTGCTCTTTGCCATGGTTGCCGAAGATACATCTAAACGTATTCTGCAAGACATCAAGGCAGAATTGGCCAACACACCATACAACTTCGGTTCTGCTCGACTGCTCACTGGAGGAACAGCGAATTTCATCTACCAGGCGCGCCTAAATCAACCTCTTCCCGATGGGATGTCGGAAGTGGCCATCAAGCATGGCGAAGGCTTCGTCCGCCAAAGCCCAGACTTCAAGCTCACTACCTCCCGTTGCGTATGAAGCCCTCTCGTATTGTGCACTGCCTCTAACCGCTACTCAGCGCATCGAGGAGTCTTGTCTTAAGTATCTAGCGGCGTTTCCGCCGTACATAAACTCGAATGTCTCAGTTACCACACCGAAGTTATTCTACTTCAACAGAGACACCAACACGCAAGTGCAAGAGTACCAGCCAACCCCGCTCAGCCTCAAGCTCTACGCGATTGAGCACTTTGCACTCTTGGAACCCGCATTAGTAAGAGCTCAATGTCTTGAGATTGGTCTGGGAATTGGCCAATGGCTCCGACAATTTCACGACTGGAGCAACTCGCCGGCACAATCCAACCTGCGTGAGATTGCTTTGGCGAACAAGGAAATGCAGTCTATCAAGCATTGGGCCAACTACCAGCAGCTTCCGAACGCGATGAAAAGACACCCGACGGTGTTTCGTGGTTGTGGAGACATCTTCAATGCCATCGTGGGAAAGTCGACCGAGGAATTGATGGACCAGAAAAGTCTCCAGGTCATCCACGGGGACTTCTGGACGGGAAAGTGCGTGGCCTAGGTCAAACTTATCAGCAGCATGCACTAATACTCGCAATAGCATTCTCTTGCAAGGGGTACGGTGGGAATCGCGGCGTATGCATCTCTTTGTAGTAGACTGGGAGATGTTCCAGGTTGCCCTCACACCGTTGGATCTCGGTCAGATGATCGCAGAGCTTTATCAGCTGAAGCTGTACAAAAACCTGGATGCTGGCCTGTGGTTGATTGAAGGCTTCACCAAAGGCTATGGTGATGTTGATGACAGTTTCGCCTTCAGAACGTTGCTTCATGTCGGCGTGCATCTCATTGGTTTTGGAACCACTGTGCCCGATTGGGGTGATGCAGAGCAGGTAGAAAATGTAGCAGCAGTAGGACGGGAAGTTGTGTTAAGTGCTTGGGCGAAAAGTCGGCGGTGGTTCGACGACCACCCGCTTGGTTGCATTTTCTCTTCACCTTAAGGCAGCAGGGTCAGAGATGGACGTGTGGACTTGGGTGGTCGATGAAACGGAAGATGTAAAGGCCCTCCCTGTTCAAATGTCCAGTCTGCCGTGTCTTTCACGGTCGGACACACATGTAAGACCTGGATGAAAAAGAGAAGGACCGACATGAGACGGCAGCAGTCAAAAGAGAGGGTCGGCCTCGAAGGATCAGAGTCAAGTGAGAAATGAGCAGGATGGGAAGTGCGCTGTAGAAGCCAAGCCACGGACGCACGAGAGAACAACGGTCAGCCATCGGGCCGCACCGGGCTTAGGCACTAGCATCTGCCAAATCCCGGCATGATTGTAGTCGAAAGCCACGAAAGACCGGTGGCAAGCCACAGAACATGAGCTTATCTGAGCGTTTCACCGCTCTTCTGCGTTGTTTGTTTGCATTGTGGGATGCGGTAGGGAAACAGAGAGTAAGCGAGCGAGAACCTAGGCAGTGACGGGAGAGGTTGGTATGAGGAGAAGAAGAGTGGTTCCTCGTGTGCCGTGAAGCAGATAGAGGCGGGAGGCCGGGATGGCACAACATCACGATGTTTTGATGGCCGGGCCGTCCTCTCATACACTACATGGAGTAGTCTTGGCGAGGCGCAGGAGTGCCATAGCTCATGGGTGGTCGGATAAGGGCGCGGGCATGAGGCTCTCTGCTCGGGGGTAAGTGATTGATCATGACGGCGGCGGCACGACGTGGAGATTGAAAGTGCGCAGGCTGCCTAAGCGCGCGTTCGCGCGTGCTCGGGCCAAAGTCAGGCCGAGTCAAGGCGCTTAATCATGACGCCGGCTGTACAGTCGATTGACTGGAAGCGGCAAGCATCAGACATGTGAGAGCGCAAGGCGTGCCGAATCCGATGTTTAATCAGGGAGGGGTTTGGAAAGGTGGCTTACTGATGGACAGTGGCATATCATTGTCAAGGTTCCACGGCCTCTGTGCTCTCATCAACGGACGATGCAGGGCAACCCTTAGCACAAGACGCAAGACCCAGTTGAAAGGAATTCTGGAGAATGGAAGCATGTTCGGACCATCAGAAACAGCACCAATGCACGGAAAAGAACAAAGCACACAAATCTCGAGACTGTTCCTCTTCTGGCGGGGTGGGTGGGTTTAAGGACAAGATGGGACGGGCATGGCACTTGGGATACTTCAAACAGGGACTCCCGCGGACTGGCGGGTCTCGGGGTCATCGATGGTTAAATTCGTTCTCCATGAGACAGAGTCCCCCCTTTTCCTCTTCCCAAAGGGTCTGGGTTCGGGGGGGAAGGACGATCCCAACCGATTTGTCCAAGAGACTCGAATGTGAAACGGGGCGGTGCTTGTCGCTCAGTGCCTCACAGTTTTCTTGGCTTCTTCTTTGCGCGTTCCACGGCCCTGAGCGGCAGGAGGTGGTGGTCGGTCAGTCTATTAGTCGTGCGACTTGGTTCTTGAAGAACATATCAGAGCAATATCAGCAAGAAAAAAAGAAAAAAAAACTCTTGGACACTTTGACCCGCCCAGCGGCCCCCCCCTGGAGCTAGGCCATTCCACAGCATACTGCAGTGTCCCAACCACCCGACGACCCTTTCCCGGCCCCAAGGCCTGTCACCTTGAATCTTCTTTTCTGTTTGAATCCGGTGTCAACCAGTCATGGTCGAGCTAGGACAACTACCCCTCGCAGGTCCATGTCGAAGCAGTGGGTTGTTAAATGAAGAGTGGCCCTCAAGAGTAATGCAGGCGCCGCCGTCTTCATCTCATCAATGCCAAGTACGTCTTCGTGGCCACAGTCCATCCAGTCAGCGAATACCTACACTAGTGTACATTGCATTGAGGAGGCTGGCTCCACGGCCTAATTTTATCACTCACCACTGCAACTACCTTACCTACCTACCTTAGGTACCTTATGGAAGTACGTACACTTTTCACAGGCGGGCCTTCTTCAGATGGCGGCACTCCAGTGAACGAACCCCGTCCTTGGAACCTGCTCTGCCGTGCCTAGGTAGGTGCCCTCCATCCATCTCCCTCTGCGCTCTGCCTGCGACATCGCTGTGCCGATCAGCGCCCCCGTCAAAGCTTAACTCGGGGGTGCCGCCTTTCATCCTTCGTACCTACCTACCATATAGGGTGCCTACCTTAAGGTAACGTAAGGTAAGGTTCCTGACACAGGTACCTCGACAGAGGTATCTTTTGTTTCTTTGGTTATGCTCACACGCGAGCAACAAGAAGGAGGTCATCGTCACTGCCCGTTGCTCTCGCTTTTTGGCTCCCGTCACCCGTAGAGAGGGCCCGCAGCATCCGCCATGCCCTTTCTTTCTCACTGTAATAGAGCCAGCTAGCCCTGACCTCATCGTTACTTTCCACCACGGCCCATCTGTTTTATTAGCTTTCCCTTTCCACTAGAACTTCATTTTCGGACATATTGTCCATGCCCAACACAACGCCATCCATTCCCACAACACGCCCGAGTCCTCTACAACACTAAAACGCAGACGCTTGCCGGGGGCATAAATCTCCGGGCACGCACACTCACACACACCGCATCTTACCAAGTACCTGATTACCTCCTCAGGGTTGGAAGGTACTCACATACCACTGCACCCGCATCCGCACAAATCCCTTGCTGTCTTTTGCCATTGCCCATCGCACCCGTCTAAAACTCGAGATTCGTCTCCTTTTCTTGGCATCCCAAGTTTCACCACTCAAATACTTCTTCGCTCACAGTCCCCTTCCCCTTTCCGCCGTCACCATCCGTGCTAGGAACAAACAACTTCTCCTCATTCACTCTCTCGCCCACACGATATTCTCCCACTTCCCCTCCTCTCAACAAACACTGTGCGCAGCCTGTCTTGTCTCGTCCCGTCTTGCCTACGATCGTTTCCCATCCCACGTGTGCCCAAACACCTGCTGCATTCGCCTTTCGTTTTTTTTTTAAGATAGAGGCAAGGGCAGCTTAGACATCCAGACACGGTCCCTGGTTCCAGTCGTATGCTACCCTACGCTGCGGTAGGAGCATCCCCCGAATAGTAAAGCCACCGACACGCGACTCCCACTCGATATATCCACTTCCAGCCACCCCAACTTTTACCTCGCCCACCATCGAGATACCGACTTCGGGTACCTTACGGTACGGATCACCTCACGGAACACCTGGCCCGCCGCCCGGTTTTTCCTGATTTTGTCCGAGTTGTGGAACGAACGCCCATCTCCCGCTCTTCTCATCCATCTGTCCGTCGTGTTTGTACGCCCGAACACCGAATGGTTCAACTATTGATGCGCGACTACACGCGATTGCCAACCCGCTTATAACTACGATCGCTCGACACGAATTGAATTGTCGCAATGGCAATGGCGCAAACACAAGTCCACACACTCCCTACGCCTATCATCGACGTCTCCATACCCCCTTCTTCCATATCTCTCCCGAATGACCCCAATTCGCGGGTGCGCAGTCGTCTCGCGCTGGACACTTATTCTTCGCCCGTGAACCAGAACGGCAGCTTCGAGTTTGACCGCGTCGTCAAAAGCGGTTACCTGCAGAAACGCACCCAGAAGACAAAGGTTTGTCCCAATGCCACCGCAACACGACGTGCGACACCTCTGACTGTTTCCCTAGGCCTGGAAGTCAATCTACCTTGTTCTGCGTCCTACCTCACTCTCCATCTACAGATCCGATAAGGAGGACAAGCTGCGACACAAGCTATACCTCGCCGATTTGACGGCTGTTGCGCTTTTGAAAGATCCCAAAAACAAGAGAAAGAACGTTTTTGGCATATTCTCCCCGGCTAAAAACTACCACCTCCAGGCTAGCAGTGGCAATGATGCAGAGGAATGGGTAGAACTGATCAGGAATCATGCGCGTATTGAAGAAGAGGATGGTGAACTCCTGCTTGCTAGTCCCATTGGTGGTCGCCGACAATCCTACATGGCAGCACCAAGTAGCTCCGGGCAGGGTGCGGAGACTACCAGACCCGAGAGGCTGGCATCAAGCTCACCAGAACCATTGGAGCCCCCAGTACCACGATTTGTCGGCTCGGACCGTCGCCGCCCTTCGCAGATGGCGGATTCGGCAGGCTACTCTGGCAACGAGTTGGCGTCACACTCCGATTTCTCTGATAACGACATTCAACGCATTCAAGGCATGTCTATCGAGGATTTGGCGGTGCAGTCTCCAGGCGACGGCGAAGGTCTGACATCCCGGCCCAGCCTCGGGAATCGTAACGCGAGCCAGGTCAGTGGCCTCAACTTCGACCAAGACCCGGATCGCGTCATTTGGCAAGGCTGGCTCTGGTTCCTCCGCAGCAAGGGCGGCGTCAGGCAGTGGAAGAACCTCTGGGGTGTATTGCGGCCGCGAAATTTTATTCTCTACAAGGACGAATCCGAGTACACGGCCCAGTTCATCAGGCCAATGTCAGCGATAGTCAACGTAGTCGACATCGACCCCGTGAGCAAGTCAAAAACGCACTGCCTCCAGCTCATCACCGAGGAGAAGAGTTACCGATTCTGCGCTCACGACGAGGAATCGCTGATTCACTGCCTGGGCGCCTTCAAGAGCCTCTTCGCAAAGAGGAGAGAGCTTGAGGTTCGTGCCGCAGCTTCAGAACCACTGCCGACGTCTGCGGCATGAGCCAGCATTGGCGAATCCAGAGTTTTCTTTTCCGAGCGGGCGTTTTGCGTTGCATCATTCTTATCCACGACGCATGAAGTTACGATGTATATGGGGCTTCACGGAGTCTAGGAAAATATTGTTTTTGGGAGGAAACCTCATCCTGCTGTGCTGAGGGAACACCACTGACGGCGAAGGGACTCAATACCGATGCGTTTCCTTTGGGGCACGAGGAGACTGTCGATGCATCCCCTTCTACCATTGAACATATTAGTATGTTAAGTATACCAAGTTTACTGCGGTGGCCGGTAGCTGCCGACCGTCTTCCATGAGGAAACGGATGATGAATAATGATAAAATAAACACTTCAGAAACCATGCTTGGTTTTCACCCTGCCGTTGA